AAAGAAGTAACATTATTATTGAATTTTGGAAAATGGGTGAGATGCCGCCCACACATACATATCTATATAAGTTTATCTCATTATATCTAACTGATCGTTCTATCGAAGATGTTTGAAATAGGGGTAACCCCACCCCTGCTTACCATGTTGCGGTAGCTTTAAGAAAGATGAAAATCATATATTTAATACTTGCGCCGGGTATTTAATGTTCGGCTCAGTCCGAACTTAGACTTTTTTCCTTGTTAAGAAATAATTTAGGTGAGCAAATTAGGTTATTTCGTTAAATAAAAAATGTAAAGGTTAGTAATTTTTAATATTTTTTTTTTTTTTAGTACTTGAACTCAAAAATTGGATTGGATACAATGCCCAATAAAAAGTTTTTAAAGGGTCGTAATTCAGGGCCACTAAATAACTGCTCGCTCGAGGCGAAAACTTGAAAAACTTGAAACTTGGCAAAATTGTAAATTCTTTTCGATTGACGCTGCACCAGTCGAGAGGATTTTCAGTTATATTTATTTTTTTTATTGCGGTGCAATAATTCTTTTGTGAGAATTGCATCGGGCTGCAAATGTCGGATGTATCCTCCTGACTTTCATCTTCACAATCTAGTATCATGGCAAGATCGTTGTTTAAACACCGTTGAAGAAAGAATTCTTCATTCTCATTCTTTTGGTTGTTTCTGAATTTGGAGAACCTGTAACGTCAACAGCGTTTTTCGATTTTAGTTTTTGTAATTCATTTTTAATCCTTTCTTGTGACTGGCCAGATATACGTTTTATCAGTGCACTTGCACAATATTCCAGGGACCGAAAATAACAGTTATTTTTTACCAGTTAAACTTGGCCTAATATATTTTATTCCGAAATAAAAGTTTTTTCTGGATAATAAACAAACAGCTTATCAAAATTAAACAATAAACAGAAATAACGAACGAAGGTTACCACCTCTATTTATATATTTTTTATATCATTTAATACTAAAGAAATTTATATACCTGACCCAAGGTTTCTTCTGTGGTAATTAATTAACATTTTTTATTGAAATATTTTTCAATAGGTGGCTTTTCTCGGTTAGACATTGCAGTTTTAAAGCTATTTAAGTCCTCTTTCAGTATCAAACTTGTTTAATTTGGATAAGCGGTTTGATTATTATCCGGAAAGGACTTTTAGTTGGGAATAAAAAATATTTGGCCAAGTTTAACTCGTACAAAAAATAACTGTTATTTTCGGTCCCTTCAATATTCGCATTCGCAAAAGATCCGCATTGATTAATGCGAATGCGAAAGCGAATGCGAATGTTAAAATTAATGCGGAAGCTCCGCGGTTGCGAATGGGAATGCGAATATTCGCAACAACCCTGGTACATACATATATATTACCACCATAATTCATATATTTGAGCATATTCCTACATTCGTTCCAACCGAAAAGCATTTGCTTGCATTACTTACATACACATACATATGTACATTAGACTGCATCACCAAAAAAACAGTTGCGAGTTTTCCGCCGGGACTAAAAAATTTATTACATTTTAAGGCGTCTACCAAAATATTTCGAAAAAATATTAAGTATTAAGTGAGCTGGACCGATTTGAAAATACATCAAAAAATGGAGTTTTTTATGAATAAAAATAGTTTCGTAAAGAACTTTTTGAAAAAAGTCCCCTCAGATGACAAAACAGATTAAGCTTCAAAAATCTGCGTAAAAATATTTAAAAATCTTTTCAACGGAATCGTAGGAATGAGATTTTTGAAGCCGTATTTTTACTTTTTTCAAAGATTGATTTACGAAAAACTTGATTAACTGGGCCAAAATTATTCTGATTTAGACTTATGGGATCTCGGTAGAAAGGTATTTTCCCACTATTTTTATTTATGTGCAAAAAAAAGTCATTCGTGTCCCTTTTTTTTCAAATACCAACGCATCTTAATTTAACTTAGAATGATGTTCGTTCATCCTACCTTTCTCTTTCATCTTTTGAATGAGCTTATTAGCAAAGAAATAAAAAGGGCGAGAAAGTACCTTTCCAATGACACCTCTTAAGTCTAAATCGGAAGAGTTTGGGTTCAGTTATTCAAGTTTTCCTTATACCAATCTTTGAAAATAGTTACAAAACAGCATCAAAAATCTCATCATTACGATTCCGTTCAATATTTTTTTTTTAATTTTTTTTGATATTTTTATGCAAATTTTTTAAGCTAACCCCCTTTTGTCATATGAGGGGATTTAACAAAAAAAAATTTGTAAGAAACTATTTTTATACATAAAAAACTCCATTTTTGGAGGTATTTTCAAATCGGTCCAGCTCACGTAAATTTTAATATTTTTCCGAAATATAGGAAATATGGAAAAATAGTAACGATTTTTTTTTTTTTGTATGGGGAGTGATGCAGTCTAATGTACATATGTATGTATGCTGTATACATAACAAAATTCATAACCAAAACAAACGCGAAAAATGTCTCCCATACAACGTCGTTAAACATTTTTCGCGATAAGTTGTTGTGAGCGATCGGTAATGGATTACTTGCATCGTTTTTCTTATTTATGAGAGGCCGACAATGCAGGGGCTTCTCATATTCGAGTGAGTGGAACTTTCTTTTCCTTTTTTCGCTCGCGAATGAAAAGCAGCGGAAATTTTTTTGTCGATCGCATTCCGAATGTGAGAGATGACAAATTTGTTTGCATTGTTCACTCGCGACAAAAGAATGCAAACATAGATTTGGAATATTATCGAAGATGATAAATCTCATAAATGAATGAAAACGAATAATCATAAATGAGAATTTCCGAACCGTGTTAACAACACAATAGGGCTGTTCAGGATCTAAGAACTAAAACGAAAAAAATTATTTATTGATTTAAAGATTCGTTAAATACGGATATGAAGTTTCCTAACTTGACGTTATTTAACCTTTTAAACCAGCTTAAAATAGGAATAAAGTAATTGGCACGTAGTCATAGTCGAAATAAAGTCCACTGAGAAGTTCGTTGCAGTTATATTTTACAGGGATCCCATTGGAAACATACAGCACCCCATTGGTAGAGGGCTTCGGGTGTTCGAATTTGTTGTAGCATCAGGAGTTGAAGACTTGCTCTAGCTGCTAGTCTCTTAAAATTTCCTCCATTCACGTCGTAAGCAAATTTCCTATGTGAACTTGCAACAAAGTTGCATTCTGCCATTTCCTTGAAGGGATTTTCATGATTTCAGATCTTTAGTAAAGTTAATATCATTTATTCATATTGTTTTTGTTTTTTACACACCTGTCCTCTTTCAAAAATGTACAATTTCATAAAATTTCAATGTCTATATATCATATTCCTCGAGCGTTAGACGATCTAGAGTCCATACGCCTAAGTAGCCCATTACGCCCATTTGGGTACTTAAAGTTGATATTATCGAGAATGTTTTTATGTAAAAATACAAATTTTTAAAAATGCTATAATCAAAAAAGTCAAAAAAAGAAAAATGTTTACTTAATTTTTTTTTATACGTTGCACATTAATGTAAAAAATGTACAATTAAAGCCCATAATAAGACGGAAGAAATACATTTTTTTCCATTAAGTTTCGTTAAAAGGTTTCCTAGATACAGCACTTTAAAGAAAGTGTATGACGTTTTCTTAAAATTTAAGTCCCGTGTAAATAGGCAACCCTACGTCATATCGGCAAAATATGCTGCACGTATATTCATGTCACCTAGACCTTCAATCTCTTCAACTTTCATCCAAATCCTGAGAGGCCGCGCACAGAGGTGGCCGCGGTGACATGAAATGCCTCATATTCGACCATATCATCAACCAGCAAAGAATTTCCTGCGAGTTCACATGACATATTTAGGTACGGATCGCTGATTAGCTGTGAAGATTCATTTTCACATCAAATATTTATATCGTATTTAAATACCCAATAATGGCTATTTAAATATTGAAAGTGTAACTCAGCTCCCTTCTAGGTCGAGGCCAAATTTTATCATTTTATTAATATAGGTTAAAGAAGACAAACCCATCACCATTGCATTAAATCGTTTGCCAAAACATTTACGCTCTTTTATGCTAACTTTTTGCGTTATGAAATCCTTGTAGCAGAAACTAGAAACAGTTAGTGGTGAAAAACAAACCTCTAAGCTTTTTGTTTAAATTTTTTACATTTCAAAGCAGCCAACTTCAAGAATCAAGTACAGTGTTGCATTTATTTCCCTCATATTTAAATAAAGGCGATCTGAAAACTTATATTGATATTTAGACTCAGACTTGCAAAATCCCTAAAGATATTTTATCCTAAATTTTCTCCGGAATAATCCTAATTCTACGGATAAATGGTCTAACCTGCCAACACTGGTGATACTAGCCTCTGTTGCCAAGCCGCCTGACTCAAATTAATTGATGACCTACCGGGCGATCGCACTGTACATGACATTTCTTCGTCTGCAACGCAAGCGTCACCGGTGATTGACATGAAGACTTGGTTCAGACTCTGTATTGCTGATCGCGATTGTGCTTGCGGAGAGTAGATGAGGTAAATCATCGTAATTCCCACACTTGTTGATTTGTTTATGACCGGAAGATGTTTCTCGCCAACCTTAATAGCAAAGTTTCAGCCTAAAGCAGGGATCACACGATTTGTACATTTGTACAGATTTGTACGTTTTTGTAGTTACAGAGTGGTTTTGTCTAGAAAATTTTATCGAGAATGAGTCCAGCTCAATAACAACTTTCCAAACAAAATCACTCTGTAACTGTGAACATGTGCAAATCTGTCCAAATATGCAAATCGTGTGATATATGCTTAAGTATCAATCAATTTCTTTGGAGATAGGTTTATGTTCATTGCAGTGATGAACCGAGAAAGGTCGAAAAGTAACCATTTATGTTGGTTAAGAAGTCCTGGTTCTTATATTTCAGGTTTATGAACTTATAAAAAATTTATCAGTCAGTAGAAATGTCAAACCAATACGTTATACATATGTACGAGCAAAAGTATGATTTCAAGCCTTACACTTCAATAGCCTTATTCCAGTTAATTATGTAGCCGCTAAGGGTAAACGTTTCCACATGGACCACATGGATGTTACCCCTTTCTGTTCCAACGTATAGCCATTTACTTCCAACGGGCAGATGGATACATGTTACCCTTTAAAGAAAAATAAATTCCAAAAAATATCAGCATCGAATTTCGCAAACATTGAATAACATATATATGTATGTATGTATATATTAATAAGCAAACCTCTCTCGTTGAAATTTGAGACTCTGAACTACTTGCGGTGTCTTTTGTCGAATACTCCACAAGTGCAATGTGTCATCCGCTGTTACCGTAACGAGTGCACCTTCATTAATTAGAAACTCTGCAAATATGACAGCACACTCCGACTCGCCCTCGTGTTTTGCATGAGCATCCACGCCTGGCCGTCCAAGTCTAATATAAGTAATATCTTGCAATTAACAACTTTTTCGAGAATGAAATCTTAAATATGCATACATTCTAATGAACCCAGATTTATCTCCGATCGCTAAGAGTCTCTGCACGGGATCAAAAGCGAACGCAGTAGGAGAATAGGGAAATCCGTGCCGAAATGTCTAGAAATATAGTTATTTCATTTCTTTGTATTAAATTGAAACAACATCAACCAACTTTATACGTAAATAGTAGTTCAAATATACACTAGTCACCATCAACGCAAAAGGTCCTATTTGACAAACCCCTGTACAAAAACTTATAGCCATATCTTAAAAAATACGAGAATTATTAGCATATTTCTGTGGCTGTGTGAGAATTTTCTGTGAAAATGTAGCAATTATTTTCCTCCTGTAAAGTTTCAATTTTAGGGCATTTTACGTTGAGCGGACCGGATGTTTTGGAATTCGTTCGTATTTTGTACTTATTCTAGGTATGAAAGTTTACACACAATTTTTTTTTAAAGTTATTTGTCGAGTTATGGGCTTCTAAAGAATAGTAAACATGAAAATTACCTTTTTTAAGTAGTTTTTCGTAATGAAACAAAATCAAAACAATATTAATTCTTCGCGCTTTATATAGAAAATTTTCCCCGTTTTTTTTTTTAATGAAATCAGTTTTCCAAAAACAAATGTTCTTTCATACCAGACTGGTAGTAAAAATTTCGAAACAAAGCTTTGAAAACCAATCCCCCCCCCTTCGTCAGTGAAATGAAACTTTTTATTTTTGAATTAATAACACAATACTATTTTACCCTTCCGATTTATAATTTTTCTATTTCAGACTGATGACAAATTATCTTTTAATGAATTATCTTTTATATGAATGATCCCCCCCCCCCTTCGTCAGTGAAATGAAACTTTTTATTTTTGAATTAATAACACAATACTATTTTACCCTTCCGATTTATAATTTTTCTATTTCAGACTGATGACAAATTATCTTTTAATGAATATATAAAATTATCGGTTGCTGGATTATGCATTTGAATATTTGCGAAATAGACTAGCCCATTTTGCTTAGTTCCCCAC